CTACCACCATCTACAGTCTGGTAGGTAGTGAACCAGTTCCTATGAGGAGTCATGTGATAAGAACATCCGGAATCTAGTACCCATTCATCTCCTGATGAACTCGTAGACACACATAGGACTGCTTCGGCATCACCGATACTCTCCTCAGCAACATTTGCCACACTACTTGTGGCATTTTGCCTGCCACCTTTATTTCTCAGCTTTGGACAATCTCCCCGTATGTGCCCCTCTTCGTGACATTCAAAGCACTTCACACAACCTTTGGATTTTTTGTGTCGCGACTTCAACCTGCTTTTGCCTCTATTGTTGCTAGGCCCCCGATGTTTATCTCTACCTTGAATCACCAGTCCTCGCGCCACATCTTGTGCTAGACTGTCATCTCGCAACTTTCTTTGCCATTCCTTTGAGAACATGGCAAATTTTACCTCTTCCGAGGTAATCGCGGTACATCCTTGTAACAAGGAGTCAGTAAAGTGCTCCTATGACTCTAGTAGAGACGCCAACTGCATCATGCCTTGTTCTTTATCGTCTATAATCTTATCGACATTCTTCAAGTCCGTCATGAGTTTATTAAACTCATCTAGGTGAGATCTGATGGATGTACCTTCATGGTATCGGAACTGAAACATCATCTTTAGCATGTATAAGCGATTATTAAAACCCTTTGTTACATAAAGGGCCTGAAGTTTTGCTCACAACGCTGCGGCATCCTTCTCCTCGGCCACCTCTATTAATACTTCATCCAATAGGTTCAACAAGATTATGCTCATTTCCTTTTCTATCAGCTCGTCCTTTTCACTATCTCTCATTGTTTCGGGTAACTTATCCTTACTCTCCAATGCCTTGGCTAAACCTTGAGTTGTTAATAGCGTCTTCATCTTGGCACTCCATAACTCAAAGTTGTTCCTTCCATTAAATTTCTCAACTTCTATTTTTGCTCCAAACATAATTGCAAAGTCTTAGCTCTGCTACCAATTTGTTATTTACTAATATCCGTGACGTGGCGGAAGCAGATCGTAACTTTGCAATTAAGTCGGGAGCTGTAGAAATCAACAAAGAAATAAAATAACGAACAATAAAAGGACACAAGAAATTTACATAATTCGATCCGAATGTCGGAACTTACATCCACAGGGAGAACCGGCAAATAATCCACTAATAAATCGAAGAATTCAGGGTAACAATCACTCATGCTTAAGTATTTCCCAACCCTAGTATATATACCCAATACTCACAGTATTTAATAACTCAACTTAATGAACCCGACTCTACGCACAAATCTCTTCGAGCTCAAACCTCTCTTCTTCCCTGGAGCTCTCTCGGCTTGCTTGCTTCTCTACGTCCTCTGCTCCCCCTTTTATAGGAGAATGGATGTAGAAATGATTCTTGTATCCATGACCCTCATGCACCGACGCAAGAAAAATGAGCATAGATTCACCCTTCCTTCTTTCTTCATTTATTAATAAAAGACAAATGAAGCCCACAAAAGATGACCAAAAGAAGGGAGGAGACATTCGGCGCCTACGAGAGAGACCTCCGAAGCAGAAAGGGGTGTCCACCAATTTATATGGGCATGCATGCACATGGATTAAATGAGGAAGAAAATGGACGTTCAGCTTTCTAGGGACAAAGCAAGAACCCATGGGCATGCATTAACGAAGGAGAGAAAAGTCAATACTTGCTTCCATGTGCTCATTTAATTAAGGAAGACAAATATGGCCAACACTTCTTCCCAGGACAGAGAATGTTGAAGCTTTGCTTCTTCCTCTTTGTCCGCTCATCACTGCATTTTGCGCGACTTTGAACAACAAATGCTCCACGTGTGCATTGGGTCTCATATATGGGCTCAAACTCGAGATATAATTTAATAGCTCTCATGGTGTAGCTCTTTGTCTCGCATGATAAGTTCCCGCCGTGCACAAATAGTAGTCTGAACTTAATGCGCATAATGTCATTCAATCACATATATCATATTCGATACTTACACAAGATAAATACGCATTATCAATAAACACTATCAATCACCTCTTTTCCATTTGCACCATATAGAACAGAGATAACAGCTAGAAAGGTGGCTTCGAATGGACAAATGGCATTGATCCAAAAAAAAACAAAATGGACAAATGGCTTATTCTCGATCATAAAATACAACATCGTACCTCCTCCTCCTCCTATCACAAAATCATGCCTAGTGCTCTTCGCTTTAAAACAACGTTTATAGCATGTGACCAAAGTAATGACGTGATGTGTGCCACCTTCCACTGTCTTAGTTTATGCGATTTTCGAACAAACATTGAAGATGACATTTCTTACTAAGTGGATAACACTGTGCCAAGATGTCATGCGATATGATCATCATACAATGGTTTTATCTGATTTACTTCATTAATGATTTACCAAAATCACATCAAAAGCGTGGGATATACTAAAGCTGGACTTGAATTTAGGCTCCATTCGTTTCGCGGAAATGAATAATTTAAAAAAAAATTTCCTAAAAATGATTCATTAACTTTGGTGGGATATGCAACGTCATCCTCGAACATTTAATTTGTGCAATGTGGTTCTTGAATTTTGGTCAAATGTATAATGTTATCCCTAGACTTAGAGTTGTCAAAATGGGTCATTAACTAACTTTTGAACTATTGGTATATTTTCAATTTAGTCTTTAAACTATTTGAAACTGACATAAACGGAAGGACTATATTAAACATTTAATCAATAGTTCAATGACCACATTTTGAATATTGAGTAAAATTCAGGGACCCTATTACATAAATTAAAAGTTTAGGGACGACATTATAGATTAGATCAAAATTCAGGGACTATTTGTATTATTATCTCTTTCTAAGGCTAAGGCAATATGCAACCACACTAGGAAAATGAGTGAAAGGGATTTCGAATATAGGTTTAACATATGATATCAATTGTTTCACATGGGTCTCGATTGGATTGCTATGTCCCGTCTTTTTCAGGAAGCTATTGGAATCTAACTAGACTCTTGTATGAACAGCGATGCACAGTCATCCCATGACAACCTATCAGTTTGACAAAAATTAAGATGTAAGATGGTCTTAATTCGGAGAAATTGTCCAATCGGTGCTAAATTCATTATACGGATACTAATTCAATCCTAAAATAACAGTTGACACGTAAATTAAAAAACATAATGATAAGTATTATAAGATTTTACATTAAAAAAAGCCTTGTATACTTAGTAGGTTGCACCTGAAAATAGACTATTACAAAAAAAGGAAATGCATTAAACCAAGACAAACAAAGCTATAAGTAAAGTCATGACCTAGAGAAAACTCCACCAAACTCAAACCTACATACCAATAACGGGCTTAAATGTAGGGTTAATAGTCAGATCTAACGTAGCATTGTACCTAACTACACGACTAAGATATAAATGAGGGAGAACTTGTTGCAAAATTACAGTATTCATACTTAAATTGTAATGAGGAAGATAACTAAAATTAAATTCGGATGCTAATTAAGACTAATCGGAAAAAAATAACTAAATTGTGATACTATGTCAATCTCAAATCCCAATTGAATCGGTAAACCACTACGCAAAAAAAATATTATTTTTTATTTATTTGCTAAAAACCACTATCCTAAGATTAGGCACATAATTTAAAAGTAAAGTGAGGGCTGAGATGCAAGTTAGTACATAGAAAACTACCACCACACATTTTCTTCTTTCGTAGATTAGATTCATAGGGCTTGCTTTCTTGTTGTTTTCTTTAAACGAGGAAGATTAGGTTTTAGGTGGGCAAAAAGGGAGATTAGGTTTTGCACAAGATCAATTGCCTCTTGGCGCGATTAGGTGTTGAGAAAATGTACATATGAGATGTAAATAGAATCATGTGATGTTAATGTAATTTCCAATCTTAAGGTGTGTTTGTTTGGAGATAAATTTCATGATAAAGGAAATTACTTTTCGGAAAATATTTTTCTCTTTTCATGTTAAAGAATTCATTTTCCTAACTTTAAGCATGCATATCTTTTTTGACCGTAAATGATTTTCCCTTGACTTATCATTTTCAACAAACTAAACACGTGACAATCCAAACAACTAATTCGCGAAAAATTCTCACTTAGACAAACACGCCGTTGGAAGGAAAATATCCCACTCTCATCCAATGAACCGTGCTTGTAGCTTTAAGTTTGGTTATTCAAATTAATTAAGTAGATGGTTTACTTAGAAATAATTAGCATTTCCGAAATTAGTGTCCCATCATGACTTGCTCTTCAAATTTGCCAGAAGCTCCTTCTCGTTTTCAACCAAAGAACACGCGATTCATGTCAAGCACAAACGGATGGTGTGGCTCTCACAGTTCTCTCTCAGACTAGGACCCATCGCGCGACACTATGATGAAGTCTGGCAACAAGTGCTCATATTCAACACGAACATGATCTTATGATAGAAATTTGGAAACTAATTTTAGTATATACTCAGCATGCCAACCAACGCAATTAACACTAGTTAATATTTTAGCAGGAAGCACTAGTGAATCCAGATTATGTAGGATTCCTTTTGGCTAAGCAAGTCAGCAAATATGAGCCACTATTATTATTTATGTTTAAATCTATCTACCATATGATACGTTATATTCTAATCTACATGATTTGGAATAGGAAAGATAAACCGGTAATCTCAACCGATCTTCAATAGACATGTAAGCCAAAGAATGGGGAAATCATCTCTTAGGTATCTAATATACGTGCCACATATCATCGCCTCAGATCTCTCATGCAGCATGGGTTAGCTATATCGGAATCGTCGAGTTAGGGTTATGGTGTAAGTTCTGACAAAGCAAATCGGTTGAGATTGTGATTCTTGATGATTCCAGCCGGATATTTCATTTCCTTGGTGATTAATAAGGGATTACGTGTTGTTTGATAGTGATTGATTTCTTTCATCATGTAAGCGATGTAATTAATTATGACGCGGTGTACGAGCACACGGAAAACATGCTTTCTCCGAAAGACAAACTTTCTCTCCCCCTATATATAAACCTTCACGTCTGTAGCTCAAGAACACAAGCCTAATGTGCCTTCATCTCTCTCCTTCTCTCTCACCATTTTGTTGAACCAGATTCAATTGCACTTCGCATTAGTCTGGCATTCCTCGACATGGAATCCGCAAACATTGATCATGCGACTTCTCACATGAACCAAAAGGTCCAAAACCCACCAAAATGGCAGGGCCAAGCTTGTGCGGACTTGGCAGGTCCAAAGGCAGACCAAATATGGCCCTTCTTGGAGGACTTCTTCGGTCTCGCCAAGTGGTTCCCGACCCTCGCCACTTGCACCCCAGTCGAGGGCGTCTCTGGCCAGCCCGGGTGCATCCGCTACTGTGCTGGGTTCAGGACCCCGGTCGACCGGGACGTCGGCGACGCTGAGACGACAACCCTGAATTGGACGAAGCAGAAGCTGCTGTTGATCGACCCAGCCGCGAAGATATTCAGCTATAGCATTGTGGACGGCAATGTCGGGTTCAACTCCTACGTCTCCACGGTCCAAGTCATGCCTAAGGAGGACGGGTGTTGCATCGTGTGGAACTATGAGGTTGAGCCCGTGGACGGCTGGAAACCCGAGGACTTGGACCAGTTCATCGGGTCGGGCTTGCGGGTCATGGCCGAGAGGATGGAGGAGGCTCTTCTTGGTCAAGCAAAGTGATTGGATTCACGAACTGATGTCCTCTGAATCTGATGATCTGCTTTCGTGCTCATGTGATAGTCTTGAAGCTGTGTGATGCGGTGTGCAAGAGTAGTGAAAGTCTGGGCAGTAGTACGTATTAGCTCTCTAATATTTCCACAATAATTCGCAAGTTTGGTCATTATTCCTCATTCGTATTGGATTTAGAGCACCCTCTTGTACGTCCAAGTTCCACTTACATATACTTTGAGCTAATTTCGGATAACCATATCGTGATTCATCTTGATCCGATGAAGGAATTGTGACCAGCTCCCGATTAAAACAAGGGTCACGGATTGAATTCGCATCCGCACGCTAATCCTGAGCTCAAGTGCAACAGAAGTGGAAATTCATTAAAGATGTAGATGCATTTTTCTGTATCATTTTTTATTAACTTAAGTTGAAGAAAAAGATGCACCGCCCATCTTCTCCAAGAAATCTAGATTATTCTAGGATAGATATCAAGATATTCTCGTGTAGAGATGAGTAGCTAATAGATTATCCACATCTAATTTTTTCTATAATCATATTGGAAAATATTTCTAGGAAGATCTAAAAGTGAAAATCATCAAACAAAAAAATTTCTAAGGAAGATATTGATCCAGAAATATATAGGAGGTAGGATCACTTCCTTAAGCCTATAAATAGCCAAGTGCTCCCATCTGTGGAAGTGTGCTTGGATCTCATGAGCGGAAAATTATCTAAAAACTCATAAACTTATTGCAGTTTTGCTAATTTAGTCATAACTTTTTAATTTTATCAATTGAGTCCTTAACATTTTCACGTTTTGCCAATTGAGTCCATCCGACCAAATTTGGCCAAAAATCGCTAACGTGGAATCAACAAAAGGATGCAATTTTGCCTTCAAACTTTAAAAAAGAAATATAAAAAAAAAACCACATTGGGTTAAAAGTTAATAAAAAAAAGAAGTCACGTATGCATTTCTGTCCACTTGAAACTATTGGATTCGCCGAAACGGTTGAAGTGGACAAAAGGGATAAGTTTTGGATTCAAATGCACAAAATGAGAGTTTTAGGACTGAAATCAAGAATTGATAAGTTGTGAGACTTGCACTACAATTATCCTAATTAGTGAGCATGCTAAGCAAGAGATTTACATATATTTCATTAGTCCGCGTTAGAATTTCACGTGAAAGGTTGCAATAATTATAGAGGATTCCCCGTACGCGAATTGCAAGACATTGCATGGATCTTTTTAAGTTTATAACACCTATGATGAATCGATGATGCAATCACACACGTCCTTAGACATTGGGGAAAAAACCGTTTTCCCAAAACTCATGGACATTTTAAAGATGAAGGATGTGATCAATGCTTGATTTTCATGTGTTTTGGATCTCTGTTTTGAGTAAGATTTTATAGAAAAGTATAAATTTTGGCCTTAACTTTCTCATCAAGGGATCAGTCTATGAATAGTTGAATACCACCTTCTAAATAGACAAGTGTCATAATCGGGTAAGATTTCCCAAGATTCAATAATATCAAACCAGACAGATGCCCGTGCACTGCTCAAGGCCAAGACTATATATTGGAGAGAGAGATAGCCTACATGATTCCCATGCCACTTCCGACATATGCTTCTTCGCACACTGACAAGAAATGCTCAGAGTATTTCAACATGTTCATGCGCCCCTATAGCACCCGCCCCATGTACATCCACTGACAAACTGAAGTCAACCTAAGAGCATTGTCCAACACTTTGATTCCCATGACAATCCAAGCTTTTGCCTTCTCATACCCTGCCAACAAAAGCTTTCACTATTTCAATGTTGTTCCACTACTGCTAAATGCCAATTGCAGAAGCCTGAAGCCTGCATTGCTATGGCCAGTGAAGCAGAGGAAAAATGGGAAGGAAAGGTTAGTGCCCTAGTGAGAGGCTCTAGTCCTGACCAGGTATGGCCCCCCTCCTGGAGGATTTCTTCAGCCTGCACAAGTGGGTCCCCAAGATAGACACGTGCTACGGAGTCGAAGGCATATCGGGTCAACCCGGATGCATCCGATACTGCTCTGTCATAAGAAGGTCTGACGACAGGTTGGAGGATGTGGTCGCAAACTCGGCTCTTGAGAAGCTGCTTGCAACTGACCCTGTCAACAAAAGCTTTAGCTATGAGATCGTGGACTGCAAAACCGCCGGGTTTGAATCATTGGTTGCCACAATGAAACTGACGGCGGCAAGAGATGCTGAAGAAGAAGATGGATGTGGAATGAGCTGGTCTTTCGTGGTAAATCCGATTGAAGGATGGACGGAGAAAGATTTGACAGTTTTACAATTCTGCTCTTCGAGTCAAGGCTGTAATATTTGGGTATTTATTACAAAAAAAAGTCAAAAAGTCAGAAAGTCAAAAGTTACTACAGTGATGCTCTGTTTTTCTCATTTAAGCGAAGAGATTGCTCGGCCGAGACAAAGAGAAAGGAAAAGAAAGAGAGAGGAAAAGAGAAAGAAGAAGAAGAAGAGGAGGAGAAGAGGGTTTTGCACTGCGCGAACCTCACCTAGCCGATTCGACTTCGTATTGCAACGTCCGGTAAGCATTCGCGCCCCTCGTCCATCCAATCGGAGAAGTTTTCACATTTAGGGTTTAAATTCGGAATTTTGGGAAATTCAAGCCGCGAAGTCCGATTTTTGAGTCGTTGAGCTACGTATATATATAGAATTGGTAGTTTAGGGTGCCGTGGAGCCATGAGATATTACGGATCTTGATTTAGACTTACGGTTTACCTAATATGAATTTTTGAAGTTGGCCGCGCAAGGTAAACAGTGCGCGACCAGCGGTTTTTAGGCCGATTTTCGTCGGTTTTTGGCTCGATTTTGGGACAGCAAAGTTGGGGTTCTTGTAGTGCTATGAGTGGGCTTTCTATTGACTATAAGCTCGCTTGAAATGGGGTTCGGTGGAGGAATTTATGGTGCGATCAAGTTTGGCGTTCAAACTCCGCGTTGCGGACGATTTGGATAATCGCTTTGGAGAAGCGATTTATGGGCGCCTTTGAGTTGTCTTGTTAGCGTTTAAGCATCGTTTAGCCGTTTCATAGTTTTTTTTACTTGGTTTTGATGTCGATTCTCGTTTAATTGTTAGGATTACGAGATCGTCGGTTCGAGTGAGCATGGTTGTTTGATTTTTGGGGATTCCAGGTGAGAGGTACTATTTTTTTTTTTTGGTTTTATAAAAACCATATCTCGAAAAAATTATGATTCGACATAAATATATATGTTGAACTTAAAAGAGCATTTTGTTGCATAAATCGGGATCGAGCATTTACTACTTTTTAGTATTTGAGAATGATTTGAGAATTGTTTTTGGAAATGTATTATGAAAGGATACATTTGTATATTGCGTTGCAAACTAGTTTATGAAATGAGCTCGGAAATGATTCAAGAAATGCTTTACGAAATGTATTTCTGGCGGATGAGCTGTATTGAAAGAAAGTTATTTGTTTGGTTTGTAAAATGTATTCTGGATTGGATTTTTGATATTGAATGATGATTGTTTAATGCTCAATATGACTGTGAACCCATTAAGGGGTTTTGGGGTATGCATACTAGGTTTAGGATATCCATCTGGGCCGAGCTACCGGCTTTGTAGGTAGGGACCTTGCCAAGGAGAAATCTTGGTAGCCTTGTCACAAGGCTTTGTGTCGTGACCATTGGTAGATATTGAACAATAGATTGATCGATGGAATGGACCATCGACGTTTGATGTGATATGAGATTCATCAATGGAATAGACCATTGATGTGTGATTTGAGATTAGTCAATGGAATGGACCATTGACGTGGTTTTTATAGAGATTAATCAATGGACTTGACCATTGATAGTTTGAATTGTGATGGTGGATTTAAATGTGTATTTATGACTTGTACAAAGTTTTGATGAAATGAAATAACTCCTGTGTGATTCTATATGTACTTTAAACCTTTGGTTTGGCTTATGAAGTTCTGGTATTGCTTTGTACACATGCATAGTGATTGCTCGATCTACTTAAAAGAGATGTACTATTCACTGAGCTGTGGTTGCTCATCCCTCTCTTTTCCAATCTTTTCAGGTTCCTCGGCTAGCGGCCGTTAGTACGAGAGTTCTATCGCGGGGACGTTTGGGAGTTAGATTTTTGGGTATGATTTTTGGAGTTGTTTGTAAGGTTGTTGATAGTTCGTCGGGTTGGCTAAGTTCTTGATGTACATGTTCTTTTGGTGGATTATAGAAACTCTGATGTTGTAACCAACCCCGTTGGTTTATCTGATATATATGTGGTTTGAGATATATCTATGTTGATAACAGGTTGTTGGTTATTATTGAGGCTGTGTCCTTCGTGTGGAAGGACGGCCATGTCATCTCCCTTTTCTAGTTGTTTTTAGGGTGTGACATCTTTTGGTATCAGAGCTTAAGTTATGATCTGTTTGAGTGTAGATTTTTATGGGACATTGTGAGATTGTGTGATAGTTTTAGCATGTTATCTTCTAGGTGCTAAGGTTTTGTTACGCTTTGGATTCAGGTTATTATGCGTTCCGACTCAGAGACACTTGCCTCGCTTCGTAAGAATAGTAAAGGCAAGTGAGTCACTACCCCCGATACCAGAGATATGCCTAAAGGTTCTCGAGGCCCGGCTTCAAAAAGGAGATTAGAGGATCGATTTGAAAGAAGCCCCGACTCACAATATGCAAGTGATGAACTTCCTGAGCCTACCATCCAAGGCAATTTATCTGAGGCTTGTCAAGTAGTGCTTAACTTTCATCGTCAACTAAAAGATCTAGGTGGAAGTGGAACCGTTATGACTGAAGGTGAGAGAGAATATACAGTTGCCTAGTTTAGAAAGGCCAAACCACCTACTTACGATGGGAAATCGGATCCTCTATTGGCCGAACGTTGGATTAGAACAATGTAGGGGATCTTTAGAACCGATAGAGTTCCCAATGATCGGAAGGTTGACTTTGCCACCCAATGTTTGGAGGGCAAACAGAGTATTTGTGGGAAGGGACTAGACTTGCCCTGGGAGGCGGAGATGCGACAATTTCATGGGAAGATTTTACAAAGGCCTTCAACACTCAATTCTTCCTGAGGTCATTCCAAGCGAAGATGAGGGACAACTTCATACACATATCTCAGGGTGACTCTACAATGATGGACTATGCATGCCGCTTCAACCAGTTAAGTAGGTTTGCGAAACATTATGTGGATGATGAAGAACTTAAAGCTGAACATTTCCA